GTAATCTAACACACTTTGGAACGAGGTGGAGGTCGCTTTAGGCAGGGTTTAGATCAGACTGGCAATATAGTGAACCTCTATCTCTACCAAAAATTGCCTACAAATATTTAAGAAGGCATTGTTTGCCTCCTTTGACGATACCTCACTAACTACAGGATGTTGTGCTAGTGGAATGATCCTGATGTCCACATGAGTGTTTCATCAGACTGTTAACAATAAGTGACGCTGATAGCCTGAATTGTCATTATAATAACATGAAAATTATAATGACAAACGAGTCACATGTTTCTAACCACAGTGCTATGCAGTTACGGTAAATATTTAGTACTCCCCGTTATCCACAATTATTAATGTATTGACACATGAGAGATAATATATCTAAGGCGAGTCAGAGAAGTTTTTACAATGTAGATATAGATGAGGTATCTGAGTATAGGGTTATGGTACTCAGTACTCCTAAGTATATTCAAGCGCATTGAGACAGTCTCATTCTCCGCTCTCTAGTATACTCTCTCTGGATGGCTTATAGCTAATTGACAACTTGATCAGTGTAATGTAAACTTGCATATTGGAATCCTGCCGTTGATACTTGAATTATAGGTGTACAATACTTGTAAGTTTTTATATTGCTTCTTCAATGTATTTTAAATAGCTTATCTTGAAGTATTATACTTTTCTGATGACATAATGGTTCTTGCTACAGGCCACCATCTCATTTCTCTCCGTAGAGGCCTGTGATTTAGGATAGGAAGCCATGGTAGCAGTCCGTCACTTTGATGATTTGGAGGCCCTTTTTTTTTTTTTTTTTTTTTTTGTTGAGACAGATCTCACCTTTGTTGGCCAGGCTTTAGAGTGGTGCCCATGGTGTCAGCCTAGCTCACAGAACCTCAAACTCCTGGGCTGCAAGCGAAGATCCAATGTCCTCGCTCAGCCTCCCCAGCAGCTGGGACTACAGGCATGCACTACGATGCCGGTATTTTTTTCGAGTATATATTGTTGGCCAATATAATTCTCTTTACTTTATAGTGGAGATGGGCGTCGCTCTTGCTCAGGTATGGTTTCGATCTCGCTGAGCTCAAATGATCTCCCAGCCCGGCCTCCAGAAGGTGCTAGGATTACAGGCATGAGCCACTACGCCCGGCCTGAGCCCAAATTTTAAGATTGAGTTTTAGCAGGAGAGCATGTAGAAGAAGACCCTCTTCCTGCACCCCAATGACTACTGGAATGTCAAGAATTTCTTTAAAAGGAGATTGCTAAGCAATAGCTGTTGAATCTTAGTAGAACCTAGAAGCATCACTGTGATAAACGATCATTAATACGAAGGTCAGAAGCATTACAAGTAATTCCAGACAGGCATTCTTATATAATAGTTCCTGTTACTAGGATGCTCGTCGGTTTGGTTGAGATGAGATTTATATAGCTACTGGTCACTAAGGTCTCCAGAAGAAGGACTTTTCCCTTTTATAGTGTGATACGAAGGTAGGAAAAGTACAGTAATTATTTAACAGCTGCACACTACTGCTTTAAGTAATATAAGCGTGTGTTAAAATTTTTATTCTTCCCCCCCAAAATTTTTGTGCCTTTACAAAGTTGTGTGTGTAGTGGCAAAACTGGAGTAGGCTCAGGCATTAAATGGTTAGGTGAAAATTCAGTTTAGTTTTCCAGAGAGACAGCTAAGAACGGGTTAGAGCTCCAAAGGATGGATTTGGAAACAAACTGAATTTTATCCACTTTAATGCCTGAGCTAACATCAGTTTTGCCACTAACACACACAACTTTTAAGGCACAAAATTGGGGAGAATAAAACATTTTACACACGCTTTATTACTTCAAGCAGTAGTGTGCAGCTGTTAAATAATTACTTACTTTTCCTACCTTGTATCACACTATAAAAGGGAAAGTCTTCTTCATGGAGACCTTAGTGAGCAGTAGCTAATTAAAATCTCAGTCTAACCAAAACCGACATCCTAGTAACAGGAACTATTATTAAGAATGCTGTCTGGAATTACTTGTAATGCTTTGACCTTGTATTATGATGTTTTCACAGTGATGCTTCTAGGTTCTATCAAGATTACAGCTATTGCTTAGCAATCTCCTGTTGTAAAGAAATTCTTGACATTCCAGTAGTCATTTGGGGTGCAGGAAGAGGGTCCTTTACATGCTCTCCTGCTTAAAACTCCAATCTTAAAATTGGGCTCCAGGCCGGGCGTAGTGGCTCATGCCTGTAATCCTAGCACTCTGGGAGGCCGAGGCGGGAGGATCATTTGAGCTCAGGAGATCGAAACCAACCTGAGCAAGAGCGAGACCCCATCTCTACTATAAATAGAAAGAAATTAATTGGCCAACTAATATATATAGAAAAAAATAGCCGGGCATGGTAGTGCATGCCTGTAGTCCCAGCTGCTGGGGAGGCTGAGACAGGATTGGATTGCTTGAGCCCAGGAGTTTGAGGTTGCTGTGAGCTAGGCTGACACCATGGCACTCACTCTAGCCTGGCCAACAAAGTGAGACTCTGTCTCAAAAAAAAAAAAAAAAAAAAAAGGGCTCCAAATCATCAAAGTGACGGACTCTACATGGCTCCATCCTAAATCACAGGCCTCTACCGGTTCCATCTTCAAAAAAAGGAGGGGCACCACACGGACCAAATTATTTCAAAGCACAGGGGTTCTTAACCACAAAGGCACATAAAAAATCACATATAAGTCTTTTGACAATGTACATTCCTCGCCTGCACCCAGGGTGGGGAATGGCCCTGTCACATTTGAAAAGGTGCCCACACTAGTCAGGGTGGACCCAGTGGAGACCCCAGTGGAGCGGGCTCTGTACACGGGAGTCCCAAGGCCCACAAATCAGCTGAGGAATCATTTCCGGTTTCCATCTTCAAAAAAAGGAGGGGCACCACACGGACCAAATTATTTCAAAGCACAGGGGTTCTTAACCACAAAGGCACATAAAAAATCACATATAAGTCTTTTGACAATGTACATTCCTCGCCTGCACCCCAGGGTGGGGAATGGCCCTGTCACATTTGAAAAGGTGCCCCAACTAGTCAGGGTGGACCCAGTGGAGACCCCAGTGGAGCGGGCTCTGTACACGGAGAGTCCCAAGGCCCACAAATCAGCTGAGGAATCATTTCCGGTAGTCTCCTTCCCACCCGTGAGTCTCGGTCCACCCCCGTCCCTCTCCCCCGTCAAGGGGGTGTCTTCCGCCTCGGTGGAGGCCCTGACGCCCCAGCGACGGCGCGAGCAGTCTCACTTGTTGCCAGGCTAGAGTGAGTGCCATGTGTCAGCTAGCTCACAGCAAGCCCAAATTCCTGCTCAAGCAATCCTCCTGCCTCAGCCTCCCGATAGCTGGACTACAGGCATCGCGCACTTTGCCCGGCTAATTTTAATATATATTAGTGGCCAATTATCCTTTCTATTTATAGTAGAGCAGGGTCTCGCTCTTGCTCAGGTGGTTTCGACTCCTGACCTCAAACACTCCGCCCACTTGGCCGGACAGCTAGATAAAGGTGGTGGCCACCACGCTGGCCGAGCCTTATGTTCTTGTATGTCAATCCAAATTCCATCTTGAGGTCTAACCCTTCTAAGCTGTCTCTCTGGAAAACAAACTGAATTTTATCCACTTTAATGCCTGAGCCTAACATCAGTTTTGCCACTAACACACACAACTTTTAAGGCACAAAATTGGGGAGAATAAAACATTTTACACACGCTTTATTACTTCAAGCAGTAGTGTGCAGCTGTTAAATAATTACTTACTTTTCCTACCTTGTATCACACTATAAAAGGGAAAGTCTTCTTCATGGAGACCTTAGTGAGCAGTAGCTAATTAAAATCTCAGTCTAACCAAAACCGACATCCTAGTAACAGGAACTATTATTAAGAATGCTGTCTGGAATTACTTGTAATGCTTTGACCTTGTATTATGATGTTTTCACAGTGATGCTTCTAGGTTCTATCAAGATTACAGCTATTGCTTAGCAATCTCCTGTTGTAAAGAAATTCTTGACATTCCAGTAGTCATTTGGGGTGCAGGAAGAGGGTCCTTTACATGCTCTCCTGCTTAAAACTCCAATCTTAAAATTGGGCTCCAGGCCGGGCGTAGTGGCTCATGCCTGTAATCCTAGCACTCTGGGAGGCCGAGGCGGGAGGATCATTTGAGCTCAGGAGATCGAAACCAACCTGAGCAAGAGCGAGACCCCATCTCTACTATAAATAGAAAGAAATTAATTGGCCAACTAATATATAGAAAAAAATAGCGGGCATGGTAGTGCATGCCTGTAGTCCCAGCTGCTGGGAGGCTGAGACAGGATTGGATTGCTTGAGCCCAGGAGTTTGAGGTTGCTGTGAGCTAGGCTGACACCAGGGCACTACTCTAGCCTGGCCAACAAAGTGAGACTCTGTCTCAAAAAAAAAAAAAAAAAAAAGGGCTCCAAATCATCAAAGTGACGGACTCTACATGGCTCCATCCTAAATCAAGCACGCCTACCGGAGGAAAACAAGAATGCCACATGATGATGGATTGGAATGATGCCACTGCAAGCCAAGGAATGCCAAGGACTGATGGCCACCACCAAAAATGAGAAAGAAGCAAGGAATAATTCTCCCCTGTAAGTTTCAGAGCGAGTTTGGACTTGCTACACCTTGATTTAGGACTTCTAGCCTCCAGAACTGTGAGACAACAAATTTCTGTTATTTTAAAAACCCCAATTTGTGGTACTTTGTTACAGCAGCCCTAGGAAACTAATATTATAGTTTTATAGCTAGTATTGTAAACCAAATGGCATAACAAAAATCATTTCCAGCTGATGTGGAGCTTGTAGAAAACATGGCATTTGTGGTGAGCTTTAGTAGCATGGTTTTGACAGGTAGAGATGACAGGAGAAAAACGAGCCTTATGTTCTTTTTTTTTTTTTTTGAGACAGTCTCACTTTGTTGCCCAGGCTAGAGTGAGGCCATGTGTCGAGCCTAGCTCACAGCAAGCCAAAGTCCTCGGCCTGCAAGCAAGTCTGGCTGCCTGCAAGGCCCGCCCGAGTAGCTGGGGGGATACAGGCAGCGCCACTGCTGGCCGGCTACTTGTTTAATATATATGTGGCCAGTATTCCTTTCTATTTATGAGTAGAGGAACAGGGTCTCGCTCTTGCTCAGTTGTTCGACTCCCGTGACCTCAAACATCCCGCCCTTGCCTCCTGAGCGTAGGAGTAAAGAGCCACCACGCTGCCCGAGCCTTATGTGCGCTTGTATGTCAGTCCAAATTCCAGCTTGGGTCTAAGCCTTCTAAGCTGCTCTCTGGAGAAACAAACTGAATGTTATCCACTTTAAGTGCCTGAGCCAACAATCAGTTTTGCGACTAACCACACACAGACCGTTTTGTTTTTGCACAAAAGGGCCCCCCCCGCACAAATGCGAGAATACAAACATTTTTTACAGCACGCGTTGATGTACTTCAAGCAGTAGTGTGCAGTGTTTTAAAAGATACTACTTTGCCCGTACCTGTATCCACAGCTATAAAGAGGAAGTCTGCGCATGGAGGACCTTAGAGCGAGTGTAATTAGATCTCAGTCTAACCCAAACCGGACGTCCTACGGTAACGGAACGGGTAGGTGTTTGACGAATGCTGTTCGGGCATTAGCTTGAATGCTGGCGGACCTGTGTACGGATGAGGTCACAGGAGCTGCCGCTAGGTGCGGGAGGTCAAGATTACAGTATGCTTGCAAGTTCGGGGTAAACAAGACGCTTGACATTCCAGGTCAGCTTTGGGGGTGCAGGGAAGACGGGGCCGGTTACATGCTTCCGGCTTCAAAACTGCCAACGGAACAATTGGGGTCCAGGCCGGGGCTAGGGTCACATGCCGTAAATCCTAGGCACTCTGGGAGCCGAGCGGGAGGATCAGGAGCTCAGGAGTCGAAACCAACGCTGAGCAAGAGCGAGCCCCATCCTCTACTATAAATGAAAGAAATTAAGTTGGCAACTTAAGTAGTATATAGAAACGAATAGCCGCGCATGGTAGTGCATGGGCTTAGCCCAGGCTGCTGGAGCTGAGACGAGATGTTCGCTCTGCTTGAGCCCAGGAGTTTTGAGGCGGAGCTTAGGGCTGACACGCGGGCACTCACTCTAGCCCGGCCAACAAAGTGAGACTCTGCTCAAAAAAACAAAAAAAGAAAAAAAAAAAGCGCAAAGTCATCAACACGTGACGGACTCGTAAGCAGGCGCCATGCGAAATCACAGCCTCTACGTGTCCTCGCAAGAAAAAGGACGAGGCAGCGACGCAGCGACCCAAATATTTCAAGCCACAGGGTTCGTGAACAGAAAAGGGCACATAAAAAAGCACATGATAGTCTTTTGACAAGGGTACATCCTCGCGCGTGCACCCCAGGGTGGGAATGCCACTGTCGGTTGAAAAGGTGCCCCCAACTAGCAGGGTGGACCCAGTGGCGAGACCCAGTGGAGCAGAGGGCTTCTGTAGCAGCGGAGAGGTCCCAAGCCCACAAGTTCAGCGGAGGAGATCATTTCCGGTAGTCTCCTTCGCCCACCCGTGAGTTCTGCGTCCAGCCCCCGCCCTCTGCCCCCGTCAGTGGTCGCCGCCTCGGGGGAGCCTGGAAGCCCAGCGGACGGCGCCTCTCCTCCTTTCCCCATCTCCCCGCTCACCGCTAGCCTGGCTTCCCAGCTCAACCGACGCCTGGTGGCCGGGGTGCCCGGCGCGCCCGCGCCGCAGGCCCCGCCCGCGACAGGAGAGCCCCGCCGCCGCGGCGGCGAGCGCGGCGGCCCTAGGCGGGGCGACGGGAGGGACGGCGAGGCGGGGCGGGGCGGACTGGCCGGGCGCGGCGCGGCGCGGCGCCGGCTCTCGCTCCCCAAGCGCCGAGCCCGGCCGCGGAGCGACGGAGAGGCTGACGAGGAGCCGCTCGAGCGCCCGGCGCGCAGCGGTGAGGTCGGGCGCTGCCCAAGCCGTCGCGCCACGCTGGCCCCGCCTGGCGCAGAACATGCGCCCGGACGCTGGGCGCTGGCAGCGCATCGTGGTGGGGTGCGGTGTCGTCAGTCGCCTTCGTGCCGTGTGGTCCTACTGACGCGACGGAGCTAGCGTGTGAGCTACCGGCGAGGCCGCGCGCGGCGGAGAGGCCCGGCGCGCGGGGAGGCCGGCCGCCGCACCGGCTGCTTTGTCCCAGCCGCGGCGCGGCCTGCGGGCGGCCTCGGGCTTCCCGCCGCGCGGGTTTGGGCCCGCCGGGCCCCGGGAGCTTCCTGGTTTCTGCGGCGACCGGGCGGCT